AATATGACATTCCAGTCAAAGCCCTGTCCAGTAATGAGTATTTCCAATTCCTGATTCAATGCAGCAAGCATTACTTATACAAATAACTCTTCTGCCACAAAATAAGAATATTCCCAAATATTTTCCAATTCCAGAGGGGTCAGGAAGGAAGAAAAGTTTGTGTTTCCATTTAAAGAAACAAACAAGAAGAAAAAAATATTTTAACAAATCGCTGAACCTATCAACAGTTCAAAAGAAAGCAAAATCCTTAAATTGGGAAAACAAAGCATAGTAAGAAAAATCAGTAATGTTTTACTCAAAAGTCATAAAATTCTGTATCACCAGTTCAGTTTTTTTTTTTTTAATTACTTGATTTTATTTTACACTAGGTACTGGGCACCGAGCAATCCTCCTTAATAAAGTTGACAGCTTTGCTCAGAACATTTTTAATAATGCACATTAAAAAAAGTATTCATCTTACAAATTGTTCTGCACTCCAAATATACAATAGCTTGGAAAACAACATTTAGAAAATAAAAGCCAATGTAAAAAGGCAGATTAAAACAACTAGAACAGTACAAATTTTAAATGGCTCAGATGTTAGTTTTCTTAATACATCATCAATGTCAGAAATCTGTTCCTTCAGCTGCTTCCATTGCTCTGGATCTGAAGAAATACCTTTTCTTCCTGGTTTCATTTCACCTTCTGGATCCATCCAATATTCCCTGGTATCAGTTAGAACTTTCCCTTTAAAATCCCGAACACTGACATGTCTCATTTTCCCAATTTGAAACATGTTATCATCTCTGCTGCTGCTGCTCTGTTTGGAAGATGACAGCGTTCTAGAAGTTTCACCAGTCTTTTGCTTCTTTACAGGTTTTTCTGGAGCAACTCGCTTTTTCCTCTTCAACTTCTTGTCAATTTCACTGTCGGAATCACTGCCAGAAGAGCTTGATGAAACAAGTTCCTTTGATTTAGGCATTGCTCCGCTCCTGCTATCCAACAACCTCCTGCTCTTTCGCTCCCGAATCTCACGAGTTCAGTTTTGTGTGTGTGTACATGCGTGTGTTTGTTTGTTTGCAGTTTATAATCTTTACTTAGTCATACAACATAAAAAAATGGAAACCTTCACGAATTTGCATGTCATCCTTGTGCAGGGGCCATGCTAATCTTCTCTGTATCGTTCCAATTTT